CATGCTCAGCTTCACCTTGGAGAGGAAACGTGGAAATGACACACAGGAAACTTTCTCTGTCTCGTGCATTGCTGTAGGAAAGACCAGCTGCCCACTGGTATGACCCATGGTGGTCTTGCTTATTTTCTTAGATAAAAGGGTCATAATGATTTAATTATAGTTCCCTCATCAGGGATGCTTATGCAATGACACAGGGCTTCCTTTTCACAGGAAGCTGTGGGAATACCCCTAACAGAGCTTTAGTCTGTTGCTTCTACAGTGTGCACATTCTCACTCCTCCTGAAACCGGGATGGCTTGGGAAATACCTTCATTTTAGATGCCAGTTAATAGACTGACTTCATGTTCTTTCACTCCTAGAATGCCCAAATTAGTCATTAATACCTTCCTCTCACAATATAGCCTCTGAATCACACAATCAATGGGTGTGTGACCTTCTGTCCCCCATCAAGGGGCAAGGTGAATCCTCTGGCCAATGTCCTGGCCCTCTCCCCACACTGGCTCTTCCATTCTGGGGTTTCTAACTTCTCCTGGTTCAGGGTGCAAATCTTTCATGGAAAAGCCAGCAAAAGTCTATGTTAGTTTATACTTCTTCCCACGTTATGATCTCTGACTATTCATCTCAGAAACTCAGGCTGTCCTGCGAATGACGAGGACCTGAATGGCACCCACTAAATGTTTGCAGGAGATCTCCAAATACCTTTTCATATTTCACTTGTTGGAAACAGACGTGGGTTGTACATAAAAGGTAGGCTGAAATTGTAGTTCATGTATAAACTTCAGAAATCTCTCTTCAAGGTTCAGAAAAGGGTACCAGAAAAAGGACATCTGTCAAGCATGTCTCCAGCTTGTGGCTCTTGGTCTCTCTTTTGGCATCGACCCTCTCTTCCTTTCATACTCTTCTCTTAGTCTTTCTGAATCCCTTGTCACCTTACTCCTCTCTCAGAACTAAGTCCCTTTATTGTTAAGAACTTCAACCCATGTATTTGAGCAGAGTGAAACTTGTTTGCACTTTACTTACAAAATTTCAACTTACACAGTGGCCATTCTGTCCTCTAATGGTTTTCATTAGCCGCATTCGTCTACTTAAATTAATTTAAACAAATCTTGACTTAGAATCTAATCTTCTCACAATTTACATCCTAAACAGTCAATCATAACTCTATTTATGGTACTCAACAGCACAGATATGGACCACTTTTATATCTATGGAAAAATTTCTACCTGGCAGACATGATGTCAACATTTCAAATTTGACCCTTGGGATAATTTAAAACACTAATAAAAGAAAGATGCTAAATCTTAAGGGAGAAGAAAAGTGAATGTTACTAATAAAAATATATGACAAACCAATACAATGTATCAGGAAATAAGTAATCAAATGCCCTCAATTAAGGATGTCTTCTGGGGTTTGGGAATTTATCTCTGTTGTAGAGGACTTCTCTACCAAGCACAATGCCCTGAATTTATTCCTAGACCCAGAAAACAGGCTCAGAAAACAATCTTTAAATTTGTGTTTAATGATTCAATTCCTTACACATCTCATAAAATAACTGCACTTTAATTTCTATCCTATAGTAATCATCTGTGTATTTTTCTGGGTTATCTTTTTTCTCTTTTTTCTTCATTTTTTCCCCTTTCCCTCCCCTTGTCCTGATCCGCCCATCTTCCTCCCACCATACTCCCATCCACTCCCCCAGAGAGGGTAAGGCTTCCCATGGGGAGTCAACAAAGTCTGATATATCACTCTGAGGCAGGGCCAAGGCCCTCCCCGCTATATCTAGGCTGAGCAAGGCATCCCCTGAATTATTCTCTATAAGAACATTCAAACTGTTTTTCTTCTTTGAAAATGAGCAAGTTTGAAAACCTCATAGAAGTCCTTCCAGTGGTGGGAAGGGGGCATTTCTGCTTTCACCAGGCATCAGCATTATCTTGCTTATCTATCACTTCCTCTCCATGCAGTTCCAAAGCAGAGATCACTCCCTGCACCACTGAATGACTATTTACCTGCCTATGATATCACATCCCGTTCACATCCCGTTTTTTCAGTTACATGTTTACACACCTATGCTTTCTGCCAAACTAAGTAACAAACAAGGAAAGAAAGTCTCCAAAGAATTAGGCTTTGTAACAGTAATGGGAATATTGATACAGCTTAGACATGTGTTCTGAGAAATGGAGGCTGGCAAAACTTCTTAAAGAAAAATGAAGGGAAGTAGATAAAATACTTTGAAATAACAGTCTTTGACCACAGGGATTAAAATCAACTATGCTCAAGGATAGTTACCAAGGGAGACACCAGTTCAAGGTCAAACAGGGAGCCTGTTTGGCTACAATGTCCTACAGAGGTATTGTCTGTGTGAGTTTGTGCTGGCCTCTGTTCAAAGCTGTGGTTCTGTCTTCTTTGGAAAGGTTCTTACCAGGCATAGCATGGACTTGTCTTCTAGGAAGTAGTTTTAAGGTGTAATCTATATGATTGTTGTTAGTGTGCACCTTTAATGAAAAAACATTCAAATTAATTTGTAATGTTGGTTGGGGCTAATACTGGACATAATCCATCTGGCTAATGCATCCTTTACTATCTAACTTCCTCAGTTTCTTAGGGCAAAAAACCTAACATTTTCATACTTCTAAAATAAACTAATTAATGAGGTTGCCAAATGAAATAACATTCCATCTGAATTATTTAAAGTTTTTCCAATGCTGCAAATAGATCAGTGAATGATGAGAGCTGGGGTCTGATGAGCCAAAAGACAACAGAATGTGTTTTCAATATTTATAACACAGATAAAATTCACTTTCTAAAATGTCCCTAGAAAATATGGCAACTATTTTTCTTTCTCAGGAATTTGACTTTTAGAAGACGAAAGAATATTCAATTTTTAAAAGAGGATCCCAAATATAGCACATATTTCCTGAAGATCACTGGTTCACATGCCTGTGTTCTTTAAGGCAGTTCTAATAGTCTTAATTAAAATGCCGACAGTAATACGTAATAACTTAGCAATGACTGCACACCCTGAAACTCATAGAAATGATTTCCTACTTCAGGTCCTTCTTGGTTTTTCAAGGAGTTAGGAAAGGCAGCTAGACTTCCCCGCACAGGCTAACTTCTGAGCTTAATGATCAAAGTGTGTGTTTGTTGTGTTTAACTTTCTTTCTTAAATTTGTTCTAGTTGGTTCACAAAAACACAAAACTGAAGCTATTGATGGACAAACAATGTTCATATTAAGGAGTAAATAAATCTGTCCCCTCCTGAATTTATCCATTATTTATGGTGAAAACTTCCAAAATCCCTTCTTCCGGGCTAAGGAAGCGCTTCCCCTGTGATATCAAAAGCATGCCACATTTTATAACAGACATTGAAGGAATTAACACATTCTCTGAGCTGCTGGAGGGATTTGGTGTGCTGAAGGGTTTCATTACTCCTCTTTATTTAGAGCAATGCCCTAGAGATTAAATTTGAAGAGATTTGGAATTCTCAAGCACTTGCTTGGGCATTAGCGCTGTAGAGTGCACTCCTGTGTGTGATCAGACTAATTATCCAGGAAGCCTGTGCTTAGATTACTATCCTCACAACATTTGCCTCCTTCATTTCTCCTTTGAGATTTAACTTTCATCATTTCCTTTCTCGTTAGTCTTGTATTAGTGACAAGGGAAGAAAGGAAGGAAGGAAAGCAGGAATGGTTACATTTTAAGCGTGTATAAGCTTCCTTTTATAAAACAACAGAGGGTATGAAAATTCCTTGTTAACTTTAGACTCTCATAAGTACAGACATTAATTCAAGTGGCTGAGTGTAACTTTGGTGTTTCTGACTAGTGCTTACATATCCCATCTGCCACTGCCTACTAACCATGGGTTCTTTCACAGTTGCTGCTGCCTTCATTTAGATTTACATGGTGGAAATTGTTGTTCCATTTTGTGGGTGGAAAGAAAGAGCCTCGAGTAAAGGCCAGGATTGGAAACCAAGTCATCTGATCACCCAGGCATCATTTCCCGAGGACCTTTGACTCCCCAGGATCCTCACCACTGCAGAAAATGTGGACAACTCAGAGGCCAGCTCCACTGTCCGCTTTCTGGTTCAGTAGTTCTGGGGTGGGCCTGGTGATCAGCATTTATAATCAGTGACAGGATGCCACTCTTCCCAGTGGTCTGGAGACCATATTTGGTGCAAACTGTTGCTTTCCATCATGGCTACCTTTCCATTTGGTTCTTTTTATGACCCAGGAGGCTGTGAACCAACTCAAAGCTGGCAAATTCTCCTGAATGTCTTTCTCCAGACAGCCGCATGGCATTCCCCACCAGCTGTCACCATCACAGTGCCTGCAAGGACACCTCGCACACACACACACCACACAACGTTGCCTAAATCAACTTTTGGTGAGTGGTATGGTGAACCATAGCCTAACCTTCCAGTGAAGTCTGACTGAGCTACACTTAGGGAAAGGAAGAAGCGTTCCCTCTTCTCAGACACTGAATTCATTAAGTACAATGAGAAAAAAAAATTAACAAGGAAAATTTCCCCATGCCCTCAACTTTCTGAGGGGCCATTTATGTTCCCAAAGGAATCTGAGCACTAGTTATGAAGCAGGATTTTTAGGGCAGTCATCTTTACAAACCCACAATATTGCCATTGGCACTGGGCATTCTTCCTCAGCTTTGGAAAGGGCACCGGTTTGTTCTTGCTCCCTGGAAACAGGTGGCAATTCTAACATTACTCCCTGTCCCCCACCTATTAATTTCGTCAGCCACTCCATCTTCTGTTTAGTTGCAAAATATGCCACATTCAGTGAACACTAACCTGCTTTTTTTTTCTTTTCAAACTACCCTGGAAGCAGCCAAATTGTGGCAACCTCCTCTTGCTGCCCCAAACATTTAACCAGAAGTCAAGATAATTTATACGGCAACATTCTGCGTATATTAGACGCGCTGGCAAAAGTGCAGGTGCTGAAAGAGAGGCGTTACGGACAGGTTGTGAACATTGAACACCGTGGTCTTACCTATGCACACTAGATCCATAAAACCATACATTCCATAGCAGATTTGAAAAAGGATGTCCTTCCTCTGCCACACTGCATAGGGGCTGAAGGCTGACCAGAGGAGCCAAGTCACACTCGCTATTAAGAACAGGGATCCTAGGATTACAGCAATCATCTGAACTTTCTCAACCAGTGTTATAGAAATGCTCTGCCACTAGAAGAGAAACAGAGGCATGTAAGAGAGAGGCGCCGTGCAGACTCAGACAAAATTTACAAAGTCACATTCTTAGTGTTGCTCGACATAACGCCAGACCCCTTCCAATTTGATCGTCCCCCAAATGAATTTCTCCATCATATCCAGGATAGAAAAAATAGACGAGCAGAAATGATTAATGAATTGCCTTTGACTCCATTCTTGTCATTAATTTGCCATTCTCAAAGTGTAATGTGGTTTTAGTCCAGATAATAACACTGAGTGTGAATGGTTCAAGAAGACTTGGTACCTGGAAATCACATACCCACATGAAAATAAATACCTTCTGACAACACACAATGAGGATTGCTCTGTTTCACGCTGTTTGCTCCTTCGCAGATTTGGTTTTAAAGAACGGAAAACAATTCTTTCTTGTTCTTGTAGAAGAATGTAAAAATAGCAAACTATATGTGATCATCAGTGAAAATCATAATTGAAAGTAACAGAAAGTAATAATACAGGAGTCAAAATCTGCTCTTATCTGTTAATGGGGTAGCTCATGTCCTCAGACATAATTGCTCTTACTAGCAGTAGGTAAGCCATGGAGCATTCTTATCAAGATTTAGAATTTGTATACCAATGGCAGATCTTAGAAACACTTGGAAGCAAAGCAGCACACAGTATTCAATGAGGAGTGACTGAGTAGAGCCTAAGCATCAGCATTTGAGAGGAATTACAGGGGCTGACAATATCCTTCAGTGGTCCTATTAGATTGAGAAGATCAATTAATCACGTTCTCACTTTTATATGCTTGAGAAACACACAAGACAAAAAAAATGCTTGACCCATAATCAATAAAACGCGTAAGAATCTACTCAGTCTGTGGAGGAAAGGCCTGCTCTTGTCACTTTGGGCTCATTAAAGAACCTTTCCCAAAGGAGCTCAACCTAATATGTCCATTAAATAAATCTGAGTTTTCTTAAAACTCATACTTACCTTAAGTCTGCATGTACATGTCTCTAACAGCAAATCAACCTCACTTGTAATTTCCCTCTGCATTCTCTCTTTCCCTCCTCCCCTTTTCACAGGTACCTCATCAGCAGATAACCAAATAATCCACTTGTAATATTTTAAATTGGAACTTAACATCCACTATTTACATATATATTACCGAATTCTCTGTTATTATGGGTTAAATATCAGCATACATTTAAAATAGTACTCTATAGTCATTTACGTAACAGAAGACAGAATGAATAATTGTTCACTGTGATAAACGTATTCTTCATTTTAGTGTGGGCTTTTATTTATAACTAACACATATGAAAATCATAAACTATTGTGTATTATTTCCTCTTTATAAGCTAATGGGGTTGCGTTTCAAGTGCATTTTTGCTTCTTCCCTTAGCTTCCTGATGTAATTAGAAACACATTAATCCCACCTGCTAGGGATTTAATGGCAAAGCATCTCAAGCTTGTTGTCACCTGGAAAGAGGCAGTGTAACTGGTTCTTGTTTACCATGGGTTTATGTTAAAATTTGCCTTAAGTACAGCAGCACAGGAAGCAGCACAGAAAGCTGCCATGCACCCTAAATGGAGGCAGCCACATCTACATGCAGGATCTTCCCCTGAACCCATCCCTTCGGGTAAACACAAACACAACATAAAACAAAGCATACATTTGGGGGGGTTTGCTTGTCAGACAAGTCCTCTGTCATAGCACTGACGTCACACTTCTCTTGCTACACAGACTCTTGACCACCACAATTGGCTCTAAAGTAACTCATACTTTTAAGTTCACAGAGCAATGGTGGTGGTGGTGGTGGTGGGGTGTATGTGTGTCTGGTAATGGTGGTGGAAGTGTGTCTGGTGGTGGTGCTGGTGATGTGTGTGTGTGTGTGTGTGTGTGTGTGTGTGTGTGCGTGTGTCTGGTGGTGGTGATGTGTCTATGTGTGTGTGTGTATGTATGTGTGTCTGTGTATCTGTGTGTGTACTTGATTTTCATCTGGAGGTTCATATACCAAGGAGAAAGGACTTACTCACAGGACTCCTGGATAATCAAAAATGCTTGAATAGGATTCTGCGAGTATGTTCTTTTACACTGGTCTATATTGTTCTTTTTCCAATAATCTGTGTAACGGGAGAGTGGAATTTTTAAGTTGAAGAGTTCAGTGTCAGGTAAGTCATTCTACTCAGCTTTGGTTAGACCTTGTCTGCAGGTCAAACTTCTAACCTAGGAGATATGCCCCTCACTGGCAGAGAAGCCAAATGAGAAAGGGACACTTCCAGGAGCAAGAAATACGGATGCTTCACGCTTGTCTGGTTGAGGCCAAATTTAAGGTGGCTTACTGTGTGAATGCCTGTAGGTTGAAGGAACATGTGTAGGCTCATGAGAGCAACCACGGGGATGCAAATTGATCACACTGCACTGGGAGGGTCAATTATGTGCTGTTATAACAGAAATTTACTGTTTCCTCGGATTTTTCAAATTTAAAGAAGGATAAACCATATATAGTCTATAAGGAATCCTCTGTAATTTTCTGGTATCACTCTGTGAATAACTCAACTTTCTCCATTAACAACACAAACAAACTTTCCAGTACATTTATGTTCCTCATGTGCTGATGAGCGCTTAATGTCACATCACTTTACTGAACAGCTAGTGAGGAAAAACACTGTCAAAGGCAGAGTTCTGGAATGTGGTCATGCGTACAGGGGCTTCTTTCGACATAGGAACATCATCTTGGTAGTTTCTTTGCTCTCCCTTGACAACTCCCTTCTATTTCTAGAGCTAACTACAAAAGGGGAGAGAGTTGTCTCATTTCTCCCATAGGAATAATAGATCTAGATTCTCTGGTAGGGAATTCAGGAATTCATCGTTGCTCTCAGAAGTAGGAGAGCATCCATAGTTTCCGCTCAGAGACCATGAGACAACAATAAAAAAGTAGATGATGATGACCATCTTGGGGCCTGTCTTTCCACCTCATGGTATCTAAAGACTAAACTTCAGTTTGGGAAACATTTGAAACTTGAGCTAATTTTCAATGGTGAAACATAACTGTCTCCTCTGGAGATACCATAGTAGTGCATGCCTGAAATCTCAGAACTCAGAGAAGGAGGGAAACTGCCATAAAACTGAGCCAACCTAGTATGCTGAGTAACTTCTGGAATAACTAGGACTCCATAATGAGACCTTGTCTCAAAAAAATGTTTTCCTCATATGCTCCCTTTGTCCCTCTCTCCTCTCCCTCTCTTCCTCCCATCCTCTCTCTCTCTCTCTCCTCTCTCTCTCTCTCGTGATTTTTACTGACCTCATGCCATTGATGTGTAGAAAGATGATACATACACCAGTCCCTAAATTAAGTACGGTTTCCCATACTTAATGTTATTTTATTTTTAGTCCATAAGACTTGATTTACAGTCTTAAAAACTATTTGTATCTATACAACAAACTACTATTTCTTTAAGAATTGGAACCAAGAAGGTCCTCTGTTGGATGTTTACCCTCACTTAATATCCTAGAGACAACTTAGTAATAATAACTTCCATTCATCTAGGACAACATGTGGCTGTCATCTTGCATTAATTCACTGAATTACCATAGCAACTCTGTGAGAGCAGCAATCATCGCTTTAAAGAGAAGTAAATGTGGGCAGAAATGACAAGATACTTAATATTGATTACTAACTTGACAGGATTGATAATCACTTAGGAGAAGCCTCTGGACCTGACTGAAGGATTATATTGATTAGGTTAGTCTTTGGTCATGTCTGTGAGGGATTACATTGATTAGGTTAACTATGGTGGGAGAGTCACCAATTCCCTGCTCTTGGGTCTTTGACCGCATAGAAAGGGAAAAACCTAGCTGAGTACAGTAATTTGTCATTCTCTGATTCTTAACTGCAGAAGCCATGTGAACAGCTACCTCACGTGTCTGCATGGTGTGTGTCAGAATAAACCTTTTCACCCTTAAGTTGCTTTTGACAGGATATTTTATTACAAGAGCAGGGAAAATAATTAAGACATAAAAATTGATGCCAGCAGTGGCATCGTTATTGTGATAAACCTCACTGAGCACGAGGTGTCTAGGCCTCTACAACTATTCCGTGAATGAACTGTGAACGAGCTTGGCAGTTCGTGCTTCAAACCCCTTTGTGTACTACCACCCGAACATGGTTGGTTATTCCGGTGGGGGCTTGGCAGACAAGCATCCTAAAAGAAATGTCCTTAGCAGAGGCCCCCGAGTTCATGAGCTTTGGGAGGAACTGAACTAGGAGGCTATGTGTGATATTTTGACCAAGAACCTGTCTTCATTCTGCCAGTGTTCTGAGAAGATGAGTATAGTTGAATTTAAAGATGATGAACTAATCTGTTTGCTGGAGGACATTTCAAATCAGCAGAACATTTTAGGTTTGAGCATAGCTGACGAGTTTTTATGGCTCTTATCCATTCTGTAGTAAAAAAAAAAATATTGAACAGATAGACATTAAAAATGTTCAGATTACTGAGGAAGAGAATGGCTTAAAGAAGTTAAAGTTTGCAGTCTAGGTGTACGCTGAAAAGAGGGTTGCAATTCTTAAAGAAAAACACCCCGATCTTCACAGGAATAGTGGGACATGTGTCTCAAGAGCATCCTTCCTCTCACCAAATGCAGCTCAAGAGGGTCTGTGACCCATGAAAGGGATTGCCTGGGCCAGTGTTTCCCCATGATCAGCACAGAGACATTTACATATCTGCGACCCTGTAAGGCCTGGCTACATCTCAAACTGATGGAATTGGCAGCAGCACCAAGGTGATACCATATTCAAGGATGTGACATACGCAAGACTGGGGTATCAAAACAAGGTCTAAAGTTTCCTTCTGTAGAAATGACTTCCAACCAGTAAAACATGTTTGTTGTCTAGGAAACCACTTAAGAGATGTGTCTCCGTCCTGTTATCTAAAAGAGTTAAGGCATTTTCTAAGAGGCCAGTTTGCTCCTGGAGAATAACATGTGCTCAGAGAAAAGCAGCCTGGACTTG